TGGAACTGTTTGCGGAGATACGGAGTATCCGAGAAGTATGTTTCACTCCTAAAAGCACTCTATCATCAGACCTCGGGGAAGATTAGTGCCTATGGTAAACTTTCACCCTCATTTCCTGTCACCAGTGGGGTACGACTAGGTTGCCCTACCTCTCCGTTTCTCTTCAACTTTGCAATAGATGATGTCCTACAAAACGTGTTGCATAACGTAACGAACGCTGACGTCGAGCTTCCTCTTGGAGACAGTCGTAGACTTAGGGTATGCTGATGATAGTGCCTTACTCGGTGACAACGCAACAACAATTCAGGAGTCGATAAACCGTATGACAATTGAGGTTACTCGTTATGGTATGTCCTTTGAACCTTCAAAGTGCAGTGTTATTGCAAGATTGGCAAGAACCCATTCCTGCACTTTCGTAGGGTAGTGACACTGGAAGTAGTCGAAAGCTTTGTCTACCTTGGGAGTTGGCTAACGGCTGGCGGTGTGGGCGAGATCTCTCAACGCGTGATCAAAGCTAGATTAGCGTTTACTAATCTGCGACATCTCTGTTGCCGGCGCAATATATTCCCTTCCACTGAAAGGGCGTGTATTGCGCAACGGTACGCACCGTGTTCCTCTATGGCTGCAAGACCCGGCCTCTCNTCTCCGAGCAGATCGCGTCCAACGACTTTCCATATTTGACACCCGTTGTCTGCGCAACATCGCGTGGATAACGATGAAGTCAGACGAAGGGTGCTAAGATCAGATAATCTTCCTTTGAGCAAAATGCTTTCACGGCATCATCTTAGGTGGCTAGGGTACGTCCTACGAATGCCTGAGCAAGGTCTGCCACATCGTGCACTATTCGCATACATCAGTCCAGGCTAGAAGAAGCAGCGAGGTAGACAAGTTGTGGCGTGGCACAGAGGGATAAAGAGACTGTTTGGATTTGGCTTCCGTTGGGGCCCCAAAGATTCAGATTGTCTTTGGCTGGAGACACTGCGGGATATGGCATCGAAACGAAGTGGAGTGAATGCATCTTCTCCTATGGGCAAAAATAAACAAAACAAAAAAGAACTCAAAACTGCGTGCAGTAAACAAACAAAAAAATTGTTACTCGCTCAAGTTGACTGTTTTGTTTTACCCGCTTCTGTACCCATATTTTTCGTTAACCCACGGTTATTTTTGGCGCCGTAACTGTAAAGATTGGTTATATATATAAAGACCGTAGTGTTTAGTTAATCATACTCCGTCTATTGTCTGCCGCATGCGAAGAATGAGTGCGTAAGAATTAGGCTGGTTGTAGACCTGGCCGACGTTGTATCGACCACATCACTTTTCGCCAAATTCTGGAGCACCGAAGTTCTTTTCCCAGACCCACCGTCTGTTTTCCTGGATCTGAAAGCGGTTTTTGACTCAGTTGACCACTCTAAACTCTGGCGCTACCTTGACCAGAAGGATTTGCTTGAGAAGTTCATTTCCATATAACAATCCTTTTAGTTTGTGTATGCAGGACTGAAACACCTTTGGCGTAGATGCGGCGTTTCACTGAAGTTGAAAGCTCGTGTATATAGTATCACCGTTCGTTCAGTTCTGCTTTATGGTTGAGGCCTTGATTTTGAGCGTAGATATTTTTAATTACACACCTAAGTGTGATGAACAGCAGACGAGGTGAACCCCATAGTCAAGAGGACCTGCTGTTTTTTAGTGGTAGAGACCGGCAATCTAAGCCCCGGGATTTTTGGTGCCGAATCACATAAGGCCCCGATAGGTTAGGCGTGATATTGAACCGGACGACAGTAGGGCTGCCTACCCCAAAAGTCGGATGACGGGGCTCAAACCTCGGACCATAGGGTTCAAAGCAAACCGGCGACAGCGACTAAACC